GCGAGTGAGTGAGTCAGCGAACCGAGAGTGTAGAGTGTGTAGAGTGTAAATGTACGTATATATATATATATATATATATATATATATATATATATATATTAAGCAGCTAATAATAAAGCTAGCAGAATGAATATATGCGTAGGCAGTAAGCAATGTTCAAGCATACATATTTCATACAAGCACAACAATAATAAAGGTACAATAAGTTGTTACAGTATGGATGACTTTGTCCGCTAAATAAATAAGTTAACAAAAGAGTTTAAATGAATTAAATGAGAACAAACTCAATTGCATGTGAGTTGCTATATATTACACTCAGGAGTGTAAAGATTTTTATTCTTAGGATTAGAAATATCCGAGTTCGAATGTATACCATTAAAAGTATAACATTTAAGAAAATAGAATTAGAATACTAACATTTCATTTCATTTCATTTCATTTCTACATTCTTTGTTATAATGCACAATTAATCTACAATGACTTCTTTCTAATTGTTTATGATATATTTAGATATATCATTCATCTGAATGTCACCTCGAAAAGTCTGTCAAAGCTGTCATTATAGATTAGTAGTGTATTACATTCCGTATTTCATGGTTTATTATATCACATCAATACAACTGAATACACCTCATTAAAGACACCACCTACTACTTTCTTCTTTTTTTCTGGGAACGTATGCAAAAAAAATTTTTGTGTGCAGAAAGATACATAGAAATTCAAAGAAACTACGGGCTAAAAAAATTTTTTTTCTTTTTTAAAATGTTCATCTTGTATTTCACTTAGTTCACAATTGTTTGTGAATAGTCAAGCACATATACACGCACGTACGCACGCACGAGAGAGAGAGCACATACACACACAAATGGCGTAGGTACGTTTTTCATTAAATATTGAATAGATCTTTTCTTAAAAGTAATAACAATAAGAACAACATTGAACATGGAATGGTTGACTGAACTCATTGAAATTCATGATTATTATTGCTTTTATTATTATTATTATTATTATTATTATTATTATTATTATTAGTAGTAGTAGTAGTAGTAGTAGTAGTAGTAGTATTTATAATAGTGTTACAATATTATCACATTTTGTATGACTGTATGGATGAATAATTTTCTTCTTAGAGAAGTAGAATAATCTGTCAAGTTAATAGAATGAACACAGAAGGTATGGAATGAAACTTAACTGTTTTACAAATAATAATTTACTACTTTGAAGTGTGCTTACAATCTCGAATTCATCTTTTTGAAATGCAACATTGAATAGAAACTAGTAAGTTTGATTTTTGTTTTGGTTTGGTATTTTGTGAACAAATTAATTAATTGAGAAACTATTGAACGTTATGAAAAACTAGAGAGCTGTTTGGTCTTAATTCAGGAATTTCGTGTAGTACACTGACACGATCTGCCTTGGAATAGAATCAAAGAACATCAGATATGGAAGGAGATACTTACTTACTCACTTACTTACCTATGCCTGTTACTCTCAATGAAGCATAGACAAGAGATCGAATCCGCTAGGGAGCACCAGTTCCCTCAAGATTACAGGTACACCTTGCTCACGAGTGCCAAGTAGCACGAAACCCGGGTCCAGGGTTTCCCGTTGACTACCTCCAACCACCATCTAATCTCAATACATAGTGTCCACAGTGTCGAGTCACCTAGACTGGTGGCCACATTGCAACATGATCGATAGCATACGATCTGCACTAATAAGGACTAGACAAGCATGACATTGATCACCACCCAGTGATCAATCAATTGTGAATGAAGTATTCACAGGCAATCAAATAAATATTACACGCTTTGCTGTGAATGTGATGAGTAACGTAAATCATGAAATTTCACAACCTCTACTAATCGATTACACTCAAAATAATCATGCGCTCTTTAGTGACTAATTTCTAGAGGTAATTTCTCAGAGTTCTATGAAAAGCGATTATCAAAATTATTAAACCCTATCAGAAATCAATATTGTAAGTATTCATTGACCGACTCATTTGAATTATTTAATTACTTAAAGGATATAAATATAAAAACAAAGACAATATGCTCCTGTGATGTTAACACTTTATTTACAAATGTACCTATTAGGAAAACCATTGATATTTTATGTGACTATATTTCTTCGAATTACCTTTCACTGCCATTTCCTGTTAAAACTCTTAAAGATTTATTTATATTGTGTGCAAATAATGTAAAATTCACATTTGAAGGTCAACATTTCAGACAAATAGATGGTGTAGCTATGGGTAGCCCTCTAGGACCATTGCTGGCTGATGTGTTCATGGGATATGTTGAAAATTTAGTTGAAGACAGTTCGAAAGATGGGTCTGTATAAACGATATGTGGATGACATAATAATCATAGGGGATAAAAGTGAAGACATAAACCACTTGTTAGAAGAATTCAATAGTAGTCAAAAGCACATTTCTCTTACATGTGAAGAAGAGAAGAACAATCAACTTCCTTTTCTTGACATCCTGATTAGTAGGAGAGATAATAGTTCCATCAAACGTGCTACATATAGAAAACCAACATGGACAGGACAATATCTTAATTTTCATAGTCACTGCCCTATTCATTATAAACGCGGTTTAATAAAGAGCTTATTCAATAGAATCAATCGTATTTGTAGTAGTGATACTATTGCAGTAGAGATGAAGCTCTTGACTGATGCATTAATCAATAATGGTTATTCTTTGAAGTCCATAAACCGCTGGAGGGTTTGCAATACGACTAGACCTATGACGCTTCTGGCACCCAAAAAGCGGGTTTATATTACGTTACCATTCAGAGGTGACACAAATAGTCTCATGTTGAAACAGAGACTTAAATTAGCTATCATCCGGACATTTTATGCAGCCCAACTTGTCATTATCGAAAAGACAAGGTCTATGTTTCACCAAAAGCCCAAACAGCACAAAAGTGATTATGTCACATCCCATCGTGTCTATCAATTTACATGTATGTGTGAAAACACGTACATAGGGAGGAGCAATCGTGATTTGCAATTAAGGGTGGGTGAACATATACCAAAATGGTTGCAGAATCAGATTATTATTATTATTATTATTATTATCAGCTTTATTCAATATTATATTTTTTTGGTACAATATAGAATTCTCAGCGCAAAGTATTTCAACAAGTTTCCGTTTCTTTCTTCTTGGTCGGTCTTGGCGATAAATATTGAGTGATAGCCGGTTAGATGTTAGCAGTTCAGTAAATGAACATCTGAATAATGTACATTCTTTTCGCTGTATATTGCCAGCAACCACGTCGGCTCTTATTGAGTTTTTTGTAACTTTGACAACGAAAGGTTGTACACTTTTCAGGAACGCAGCAGAATAGGTTATGTGATTAATAAACATAATCATATATTAAAACAAACAAAAATAGATAACTTGTTGAAATATTTAGATGGCAGGAACAGGTAGCCCAGAAGCTCAAGCAGGCCGCCCTGGTCAAATAAGATCACAGGATAGACAGACATAATCATCCATTGCGAAACATATGATTGAGACGGGTCATAAGGTTGATATCAAATCAGCATTTGTTGTGTTGTACAAAAGCCTTCAAGGACGTATACTAAGGTTTATTGAAGCCTTGGATATACGGAAAATGAAACCCCCTTTATGTGTTCAAAAACAATTTGTCCTTACACTTAACCTACCCTGGTAATACTATTTATTATCCAGAATGGTTATCACATTTGTTCTTGTGTACTTTAATATTTTTCCTTTGTTATGACTTACCCTTTACCTGTCTAGTTGACCTTTCAATTTTCATATATAAATGTTCTTAACAAGTATATATGTGATCAGATTGTTCGAAATGTATTGCTCAAATATATCACATAATTCTGATAAACTACGACTTCTCATTGCATTATCAAAATTTATCAAAGGGACTAATTGTTTTAAAGATCTGAAGAGTATAAACTTATCAGTTGTGAGACAGTTATATTCTAATTGAGTTAGTAGATGATTGCTCAATATGGCGAATTAATTATAATTAGGAATATGATCTATTTAATGGTGATTTAATAGATCAAATCCCAAGCGATTGCCACAAAATCTTCAGATCCCAGGTTCCAAACTCTATCCTGTCGTAGATATACAACTCTGTGAAACCCTGTACTGCAACGAAACAGCTATAATGTACTTCCTAACTTTTAATTGATCATCTAAATGAGATCAATCGATTATGTAAACTATACAGATCAATAATCACTTTAAATCCCCTGTTGTAATAATACAAATAAACTATGGAAACTGATTTAAAAACATTACATTCCAATATTCTATCTATGATTGATTTCATATTTTCCTCTCATCGAAAAACAAAAACAATAGTTATACACATTTCAGACAAATATTTTGAATATCTATCTACCTATGAATAACAAAATGTAATTGACAGTAGTTAAACGAATTTTCACCAAAAAAAAATTTAAAAAATCCTTTTTGTTTTCCAATGTAACTAACTGGCTAAATGAGGAAATAATCATAATCATAATCATTTCTTTGAGAAAAACAAAAATAAATCCATTCTAGTTTTTTTTTATTAATAGTCTCACCTGTTTCTTTTTTCACTTTTTACAGACATGTTTATTCATAATAACTTATAGTCATCATATTTGTTAATCAGCTGGAAAGCATGTGATTGGTTAGTTTCTCAAATGTGCTTAACCAATCAAATTAAAGTATTTTGAAATCATGCTAAAACTATCTTGTTAAGATGTGTGAATAGAAAGATATTTTGTCATGGCTATAATAATAACAATATAGAATAAATCATTGTTCATAAACACAAAGGTTTAATTACTTCTATAAAGAACTTTCATAATTACATATAATATACACATTAGAATATACACGTCCCAATATATTAGATATGACATAATGAATAATGCCTTACAACTGGAATAAATACTTTTGGACAATTCATATCATTATTTTTATAATTCTATTAGAAATTTTATGTCATGTAACTATGGAAAGTTATTTTGAGAATAATAAAACAATGTTTATTTCATATAGAATAAAAGAAGAGCTCCCAAATGGTACATTAGTTGGTAATTTATTTAATGATGTTAAAAAATTATATGAGAAATTCAAATTTACCACTTTATCTTCATTGACAACAGAAATAATAACGTTACATTCAATTAAACAATTAAGGAAGTTTGAATTAAATCCTTATGATTTAAATTCTAAAGAAATAAGTGATTATTTTAAATTAGATCAACAAACTGGTGATCTATTTGTACAAAATCGTATCGATTATGAGCATATATGCCCGAAACCTTTAATTCATTCTACCTCTTCCATAATGACTTCCTCTTCGTCATCATCATCATCATCATCATCAAAAGCTCTTTCAATAATCCATTCAAAAAATCATGGATTATTACATCTTTCACGTTATGATTGTTTAATTAAATTGATTTTATTTGTAAGTTTAAATAATTCTACTGATGAACGTTGGATTCCAATTATGATTTATATTGAAGATATTAATGATAATCGTCCAAAATTTCTTGAATTAAATTCATCAAATGCATTTGATTACTTTAATGTAACAATAAAAGAGAATATCCCACTCGGTACAAGAATTCCTTTAATGAAAGCATATGATTTAGATACAACGGAGAAAAATGCTAACATTTTATATAAATTAAATTATCCTATACATGATAATCAAACTGATTATCATCGAGTCTTCGGCTTAGTCACATGTTCCACTGATGAATATAATGACAATAATAATAATCAACTCAAAGATAGACTAATCAAAGGAAGAAGTCATGACGATTTCCCATGTTTAATCATTAAAGATAGATTAGATTATGAAATGAAACAATATTATTCTATAGAACTAATTGCATGTGAATCTGGTTATTCATCTATGGATTGTGCAATATTACCAATAAAAATTTCAATCATCGATATCAATGATAATAAACCAAAATTTATATTTCCATTAGAAAATTATTATTCATTAAATATATCAGAGAATTTACCAATTGGAACATTATTATTAAAAATTGAAGCTATTGATATAGATAGTGGTGAGAATTCACGTTTAACTTATAGTATAACACAAAATTCATTTCGAAAAAAATTAGTTACCATGGCAACCAATAATAATAATAATAATGACTATTCAAATAATGATAATAATCATAATCAATCCAATTCATTTAATCAATTTATAATCAATCCAAATAATGGAGAGATACGTTTAAATCAATTATTACATGCTCATATAACACAACAAATTGAAATTATTGTACATGTTAATGATAATGGTTTACCGATGTATAAAATTTCAAAAACTATCCTATTTCATATCATTGATATTAATAATCATGCACCAAAGATACAAATTAAAAAAATTGATTGTAATAAATTTAATATAGAATCAAATGAAATTAAAATTTCAAATAAAATTGAATCTGGTAGTTATATCGGTTTTCTAGTGGTTAGTGATTCAGATCTTGGACAAAATGGTCAAGTAACCTGTCATCAAAAATTTGAAGATTATAATAATCATAATAATTGGAGGGAGTATTCACATTTTAAAATTAATCTAATCAATAATGGTCAAATATCTAGTCAATATTTATATACATTACAAGTAATAAGAGATGATTATATAAACAATGAAAACATTGATCTATTCCATTCTAAAATCAATACATCAATCAATAATCAATCAGAAACAAATTTTACACAAAAATTAATTTCATTTATCATGATTATTACATGTAAAGATCATGGTAGTCCATCATTTTTAACAACATCAATAAATTTAATCATTACAGTGATTGATTATCGATTTATTGATTTATGCTTTGAACAAATGAATTATGAATTAATCATTGAAGAATCTAATCAACCATTATTACATTTATTACAACCACAATTAATTGGTATTGTAAATCAATTAAATTTTAATATAAAACCTAAAAATAATCAATATAAAATAGGTTGTGATCAATTGAATATAAATCAATTCACTGGTGAATTATCAGCACCAAATGGTATGGATAGAGAAAAAATATCATATTTTATATGTATATTAATAGCTAAAGAAATTAATAATGATCATTTAATCAAACAAAATCGTATTGCTCATACTGAATTGATTATTAATATTACTGATATTAATGATAATGAACCCAAATTAAATAATGATATATTATTATATGGTTTTACAATATATGAATGGGATCAATATAATAATAATAATAATAATGAAATGAAAACTGATTTAAATAATCAAACAAATTCATATATCATTGGTTATTTAAATGCAATTGATTTAGATGATGGTATAAATGGTACAGTAATCTATAGATTAGCACAAATTACGATTGAGAAAACGATTGATTATCAAAATGATACAAATCAATATTTTAATAAAAATAATGATCATGATAATAATAATGATCTAAAATCAATATTTCATATTGATTCAACTAGTGGTTTAATTAGTATATCAAAAAATCAATATCATTTCATTGATCGTGAACAAATAAGTGTTTATTATTTACAAATAATTCTTGAAGATATGGGTTATCCAATTAAATTAACTTCTATACAAACAATTAATATTTATGTGAATGATATAAATGATAATGCACCAAAATGGTATCATACAATTGAATCTAATTATATACAATTAAATTCATTAAAACAAATTATAATTTATCATCTTGAACCAATATGGGAAATTAATCAAAATTCACCAATTGAATTAAAATCAAAATTAAATGCCTATGATAATGATTTAAATGATAATGCTAAATTACAAATGTATATTATTGAACCAATTGATGAATATCAACAATTTATTGGTCGAAACAAATTAAGCTTACCAATAGATTCATTATATGTATCAATTCATGGTGAATTAATATTATATATTGATAAATTACAAGAAATTTATCAATATTATACATTTGTACGTGTACAAGATCATGGTATTGATAGACAATTATATACAGATGGTTATTTTTTTATACAATTACCAATAAAAACAATGAATAAATTAGAATTATCTATGAATTCATTAAATATAACAAATCGATATATTGATCATTTCAATAAATCAATAAATACAAATCAATTAAAAATCAATACTCAATCAACATGGTTATGGTTCAATGAATTCAAGATCATGATTCTATTAATTATTTCATTAAGTTTAATTATTATCCTTTCAATAATTATAATTTTTATTATTTTTATAAAATTTCATAAAAAAAAACAAAAACATTCTAGAAACATTTATTTTCATCAAATAATCGATAATATAGAGGGGAAAAATGATACATTGAATTCAGATTATTATACTACTCATACAAGTAATAGTAGTAGTATTAATAATAATAATCATCATACAATAATGAATAAAAATGATTATTTAATTATGAATTCAAATTATAAATATAATCCAATGAATTTAATTTATCAATCATCTGATCTAATGAATAATCATTATTTCAATGATTCAATGAAACAATTGAATTTAAATACAAATCCATTGAATATAACATCGAACTGTTCTAATTTATATCCTCATAATAATACTAATAATAATACTGTTGATCATCAATATTCTCATGAACATGTTCATGGGAATGAATTGAATCATTCATATGTTGATTCAATGTTTCAACAAATATCAACTCCATATGAATTATTTTATCCAACTATTTATACTAATTTAATGACAACATATGATTTGAATAAAAATGAGAATAGTACAATGAATACGATTACTACTACTACAACAACTACTACTAATATGAATAGTAGTAGTAGTAGTAGTGGTAATTGTAATTATCAATATTTTAATAATACACTTCATTATTAAAAGTATAAAATATCAAATCTACCTATTGATAAGTAGAAAGAATTCTATTGAACAAGTGACGATATCATTGTCATCATCATCATCATCATCAACTGCATCATTGATGGTACTGATGATGCTGATGATAATAATCACTTATAAAGAACAAAATATATAGTGAATACTCAATCAGTAATGATGAAATATTATTGGGATAATTATGAATATATTGAGTTATTGTATACAATGTTACACATTTTTTGACTATGGATAGGTATAGAATAAATAAGTTTACCGTAATTTCAGCTTAGTATATTTGTGTATATGTGTGATTGGAAGGAAATGGGATTGTATAATTATCAACAAATTCTACCTTCATCAAAAATTGTTGTATTATTTTTCTTTCTAAGTGTAGACATTATCAGAATGATAAATTCAGTATGTAACATATACTCTGCTGTGTACAACGAAATTAAAATTGTTTATTTTTTTTTTCTTCTTCTCTCTCGCAATTTACGTGTATATTAGTAACCTTAAACTTGTTTAAACACTTAATTTGAATAATACTCATTACAATACAATAATTTTGGAGTTCTAGTGAGAAACCGTGACCAATGGAGTTCAACCAGGTCTGTGTGAGATAGTAATTCACTGAAGACAATGGTGGACGGTGGTGGGATTTCTTGAATTAGTTGAAGTTAGACATTAACACCATTGGGTACTGGCTTAGTGGTCTAGTGGTTAAGCGCTCGCGCACGAGACCGATATGTTCTGGGTTTGAATCTCGCAGGGTAAGGGGTCGTGGATGCGCAATGCTGAGCAGTCCTATACAACGACGAAATGACCATCCAGTACTTCCAGGTTTTTCATGGTGGACTAGCTTTAATTAACCCATGAATGTGATATTTTTTTCCTTAAAAGAAAATTTTAATTGACCTCTCTTTGTTGCTTTCTGTTTATTTGTTTAATCAATCTTTGTTAATTGACATAAATCGTCACATTTATTAATGTCTTACAGTTGAAGTTTTAAGCTTATTTACTAAATGTATGATTTTATTCTACCTGAAGAACTGATTGTTCTCAAATATGTCTACCTTTAAAGCTCATAAACATAGACACAAGTTAAGCCATACATAAGAAATGTTAGTGTTATTTAAACTAATACGTAATTACACAAATATTAATAGTAACAATGGCAGTTTATTGCTGAGATAACTGTCTCATTATTACTTAAAGTGCAAATTTATGTCAAGCTTGAAAAGATGCAATCGGTGGAATCTAAGAAGTTTGTTCTATTCGAGACTCTTCAGCTGGATAAACCTAAATCTTAGTGTTTAGACTGAGACTTGATCCAAGTACTTTGCACTTTAAACTCTTGAAGCTCATTACGGATATAAACACTGAGATGAAGGTATACTCGGTTAACGACTCCCAAATATAACAAAGTATGCATTGTAAATATCACTACTAGCAACTATCCAACCTTAACAAAAAGTATTTTATATGCGAAACTTTGGATCATATAATTTTTCCTCTGGCAAACTATATATGAAGCACATCTGCCAATGAATGCTGATAAAAGTTTAGTTATGACTATCAACCAGGAAATAATCCAAACCCTTGCTATTGTTAGCATAAAATGATTACCTCATTAATCTGTCTACACAATACTATTTAGGAGAGAATTCATTTCGACCTACGTTTAGGTCTTGATATGATAGACTGACTGGTTCAATTTTGAAGCTGGAAATATGTGAATCCAAAATAAGACTAACTGCCTTGATTAGAGAGATGAAAACTATCCTATCACCTGGTTGGTTGATAAGTGCACAAGAGAGAAGACGAGTCAACTGGAACACTTGTCGATTTATTCCTGATTTCCACTTCAGATTGGTGTATAGATAGATAACTAACATCACCACAGCGCATAGACAATTAGGAAAATACAAATATGTCCCAAATTGGGCATTAGGTTAGAAAAATAGAGTGCCAATGGTTACATTTAAATTAGAATAGTTTTGGAACAAAAAAGAGTATGGTAGTGAATCATGCATCAAATGAAAGCATATTGTTTATAGTATAACCTAGGCTTAAAACTAAATGTTAGTATTTTACAAACTTTGAGTTAAGTAATATAATGCCACCCGAATAGCTTCCGTTATTTGTCATGACTTATTTATTTCTCTATTCACATCAAAAATCATATGTATTAAACAAGTTAGTGACTCTTTGAATTCATTACTTCAGTTGATTATCAAATGTCGTGTTGAATGTCTGATGTGAATTTTACGAGGCTCGTAGTGAACGAGAACATAAGTGTGAACAATCGAATGCATTTCAACGCAAAATTACAGAACCTTTTAATAAAAACTGAGAACTATACAGTAAATACTTCATTTACAAAATATCAGTCAATCATCTCAGACTTCATTGTTCCTTCGTTTCCACACTAATCATTCTCTGTTCTCGTTCTCTTTTCTTCGGTCTTTTTAACCACCTGCCACCAGGTATTTTACTTTCGATTGATGATACATACTACTTACATCTATCAACATCAGTAGCACACACCACAAATTCAAGTCCCAAGGCGAATGTAAGCACATCATCCGTTGACAAGTTCCGAATAGAATGAAATAATTCATGCGATCGATTTATTAATTTCCATTTACCTGATTCGATCACATGTATTAAATGAAATAATTATTATTCAATATATTTTTACTACCTATTAATTAATTTATATCACTTAGTGCATTATGTAATCTATGATTATGTAATTCGTTTGGTTAATAATTATGTTTTGTTATTATAATTTCAATGATCCAACTTTCTGTAAATTTATTCTGATTATCATATATAATTGTCTGTTTTAAATCGACGATCTCATTTCAAGTTTTGGATTGTATACTTGTGATTTATTTTAATTGTAGTTTGGAATTGATATTCGATATTTTTTTGTTCAGCTAGGCCTGTTGTGAGATAGTAACTCACTGAAGACAGTGGTGGATGTGTCACTCAATTTTGTGGATTAGTTGAAGTTAAACATTAACACCGTTGGATGCTGGCTACAAAATCTAGTGACTAAGCGATCGCTCTCGAGACTGATAGGTCCTGGGTTCGAATCTCGCAGGGTGCGGGATCGTGGATGCACACTGCTGAGGAGTCCCACAATAGGATGAAACGGCCGTTCAGTGCTTCCAGGTTTTCCATGGTGGTCTAGCTTCAACTGACTCATGCTATCAACCATTGAAATTTTTTTTGTATTTAAAAATGCATTTAGCTTAGTTCTTAGTTATATGTTTCAAATTATTTATTTGTTTGTTGCCAATAAATAATTTTTGTATATTTAAGAGTTTAAGTGTTTTTTGATGTTGGTGATGATTGCATTACATTAGTCCTTATTGACGTGTGTATGGATTCATTGGACATAGATATTTGGTAAAAAGCATTCTGAAAGAGAATAATTGTGTTGAACAGTGGGACCTCCCTAACTGGAAGTGTTTCTTACCGATGTTTACATCGCTTAAAATATAAATGCGTTTTCAATGAACTACAAAGTTTGGAGTGAAAAGTGCTGATTTTGATCCTCATTTAGGTCTGTTAGCTGGATGGTTCGTTTAAGAAAAATTTGTTATTGTTCGGAACAATACTATGAGCACTTACTGAAAAGGAAAGTTAGATATGAAAATTTACCCACAATTTGATTAACAGCTTTTTCTGTTGAACTGGAATATGACTAGTTGTTATTTATAACTGTGTGTTCACTGTATGTATACTCTAATGGTTGTTATTATTCCAAACTTCAACTCTGGTAGATCTAGTCGATTTCTGTTTATTGATTGTTGCTTGGTCATGGTGCCAGATTTATAAAAATTCTCCAACATTCTTTGAGCTTCCTAGATTCAATAATATTTCTAGATGTTCGGAGTCAAACTCATATCCACAGTTGTTCACATGCATTCAGATGAGCAAAGCTATGCTCTATAGTTCAACTGCTAACTTTTAACATTATTTTCGATGTATAACGTTTTTTTTTCTTTTTTAAAAAACGACAATTTATTATGATCATGGATAAATAGTGACGAAGTCAGTACTGTTAAAGAATATGATAACACTTAGAACAACTACAATGAATTATAGCCAATTATTAAGCAATCAGAAAACAGCTACGTAGAGAAAAATTATGGACAAGAGAATACTAATATTACCAAGAGAAAATAGATTTTGTATAACAAATGAATTTACTTAAGTCTTTTAAAAGTTGTTCTGCCTGCAAATCAATATGCGTATAGATTAGTCGTTTTCTTGAACATTTATAATAAAAAAATACTGTTTTTCGAGTCCCGACATCGTTCTTCGTTAAGAATGTGCTGTTAGAATTAGAAGTTTGGAATTAGAGTATGAGTCAGAATTAACATAGTATAATGTTGAGATTTGTCTATGCGGTCGATTTGAGTGTTATATACGATCTACTTGGTTAGAACTGAGCATTGACTACGTCTAACATAGTTTTTATTCTGTGAAGGAAAAACGTAATCATGCTCCATTATTTTTAAGCTACTGAAAACTACACTTAAGTTTTTCTACTGGGAATTTTATATAATGAGATGAGTCCATTCAGTTTTAAATTTAGCCAAGAAATCCACAAGTCAACTTGATCCTAATTGGCTTGTCTCTATATCAAACTTTGGTGTGAATCGATTGATGCTAGACCGCAATTGAAAACCTGAAAGCACTGGACGGTCGTTTCGTTCTAGTATGGGACTCCTCAACAGTGCGCATCCACGACCCCGCTGTATGACCCGAACTTAGGAACTTCGATCTCGTGAGAACCTTCAACCTCAAGAACACAGAGCTGGTCAACAATCAACAGCGTTAATTTTTAACTTCAACTAATCCACGAAATTGCGCGACCATCTTCCATCGTCTGAGTTAGATACCTGTCTCTACCTGACACGGATTAGTTCCACTGGTCATGGTTTCTCTCTCGATCTCCAAAAATTCCCTTACACAGCTAATCACTAGTGAGCACATGGTAATTATCAGTATGACATTGTACTTTACTTAAACATTTCCAATTGTGTACATCACAGTAAAAAAATATAACTGCACAATACCCTCAATGTAACCAATAATCTAATTAGATTTTGATTGGTTCATTCTCAATAGAGTTTTAACGCACATCATATCTATGTTCCTATTGGTCAATCGACTGTTTATTCGGTTATTTTTACTGGTAGATGTTTACAATTTTAAAACTACCTCCAGTTTCCTTTTAGTTAAAATATAAACGATGATAAATTTTCAATGTCACAAATAAATGACCAAAAACAAAAGTTTATTCGTATTTTGTTATTATGATTATTAGTTTTTCTTTTTTTGAAAATAAAAGACTCCTTTTTGTCAAGGTCCAAATTGAATTAATTGACTGTGTCTTTCATCTGGTTTGTGAATAAATAACTAAATAATTGTTACAATTTTTCCTATTACATTTTGTAAATATGAAGTGTTACACTGTCCGAAC